TTGCCCGCTCTCTTCAATCACGGCGAATGTAACTCTCGCAACAAGTGCACGCGCAAATGATTTTTTTTATGGTACTTTGACCCTCAAACGTTTTATCCGCGTTCTTTATTTACCCGAAACCTGAATTTATTTGCGAGCAATCGTACCCGCTGCGCTGTCGCGACGCCGAACGCACGATCGGATGCGTTTTGAATATCCAACGCGTCGATGCCCCTTTCTCTCTCTCTCTGTCACTCTTCTTTTTTTTTTGTTTTTTTCGCGACACGCGACAGCCGATCGACGTAAAATATTTTTTTACCGATTATACGAGATTCAGCTGTGACAAAAAAAGAAGTTCTTGAGAGCAATGAAAACGGACGACCATTGAAAATTTCGAGTCGTCAGATTGGTTTCTTCGATCTTAGTAATGTTAGTAATTTAATCTTTAATTCGTTCATTTCTTAGCAATTCGATCTTCGATCTTTATTTTCAGCAATTTTTGCTGTTTCGAGTTCAACAGAGGCTGCGTAAGTGAAGGATAAACTGCGAAAGTAATTTTACGTTTATCTGGATTTTGCGTGTGTGTTTCGTTCGACACGTAACAGGGTGAGAGAGTTAATATATTTCACAGTATTTGTTCGATGTTTCCTGAATGTTGTATTGAAAGTTTATTGCCTAGGTTCGTATGACGCGCTGATAACAAAATTCGGGTCTTTCTTGACTCAAAGACTTTACATGTACAGTTGAACGAAAAAACGCACCGGTGCGACTTTTTCATTTTTTACTTGGCTATGGATAACGCAGATACGCGTTATTGAGATTTTTATTCATTTTCGTCTGCCCCAAAATAAATTCATGAAACGCACTATTTTGACCCAAAGACTTCAAGTGACGACGCACTGATGGGTTTTTTACTTGCGTCATTGAGATTTTCACTAATTTTGTTGGAAATGGGACCCGATTGCGATACGGGGCTTCAGTGCGTGCGTACGTCACCAATAAGTGACGATCGGCGGCGAGCGACCGCTTCTCGATTATTCTCCACGCGCGTCCACGTTGTGTCGCGGTGTAAATAGTTCTCGTATAAAACTTTATACAGTAAATTCTCCACAAGTGTCAGTCAGTTTGGATTCTACAAGTGTCAATATATGTAGATGGTCTTACGTCTAGGTCTGCGTCATTGCTGCGCCTATGTTATCTCGTTCGCTGTCAGTCAAGCGTGTAACGCTGCACCACTCGGTTTCTTTTACGAGATTTCACGGCTCGACAATTCATAATAGGAAAATATAATTTCTTTATCTCATCAATATGTTGAGAAAAATTTCGGGATAGAAAAACGTAAAATAAAGGCTGGCGCGAGGCTCGAAAACGTAGTCCCTGACTCTACAAGTGTCAGGTTTAGCTTCCTTGCGGAATGACACTTGTGGAGAATTTACTGTATATTACAGAGGAAGTCTGACGATGTGTTTCTCTCCTCACGATTAAATCCGTCGTTGAGTTACAACAAATTTCCATCTGCCCCAAAATAAATTCATGAAACGCTCTATTTTGACCCAAAGACTTGAAGCGACGACGCACTGATGCGTCCTTCGGGTTTTTTACTTGCGTTATTGAGATTTTCACTAATTTCCATCTGCCCCCCAAAATAAATTCATAAAACGCCCTAAACGGTTCAATTTCTCTTCACAAATGCCATAACACAGATCTTCCACGAATGGAACAAAATTTCTCTGAAAAATCTCGATCAGTTACGGCAGTTTTCTCCCAACGTAACGCGATTGAAAGAAATAGACGCGAAATCGGCCCGTGTCAAGTGCGTCTCGAAACGGCCCGACGCGTCTGGGTTAAGGTGAAAGCAACCTTACAACAGGCTCAGGTAGCTAAAGGCTTCCAGATTTTCAACCGGTTGACCGAAATTTGAAACCTGCAAAGGTTCTTTTCTTCCGTACAATTTTTAATCT